AATTTTCCGCTGACATATTCTACCATCTGCTTGACAACTATCTTTCCTCTAACAAAATCTGACAATTCGAGAGAATCTTGAGTTCTAGGCATGTTGTAGCACAAGATAATTAGATATATATAACTGCCCATTACCTGCTAAAAACACATTAATAAGTGTATTATGAAAAAAATTTCATACTTTGCAAAACCTTTTTTCCCATTTTGGTATTCTTATGAAAGGACAAAGAAAGAGACTGTCTTATGAAAATTTAAAACCACATTAAATATACGTAGTTTAATACCTAGAGGGCGCTTAAAACATATGCATAAAACGCCGCGATTTATGTCATTCTTAAACTGGTTTTCTAAAATCGTGTCTTGTTAAGTATTTTGGGAGTATTTTTTGTTTATATTCTTTAAAAATCAGTAATAATAAAAAGCCTGTAAAAATTGTATAATATTTTATTTTATATAGATATTATGTACAAACAAACACACACACAAATACGTATATAAATACAGATAGATATTTATGTTGATATACACATACACATACGAAAGCTTGTTAGGTACTCGTATCTTGCGTTGTTCTATACACACACTCACACATTCGATGAACTTTTATTTTAAAAATATCTCCACGAGCCTTTTTTGCCCAGTCATACTTAAATTTTAGTTCCATGATTTATACGCTGCTTTCAGTTTTACCCAGAGAAAACCCTGCCATCGAGGGTCTAGAGCCAACGTACGACATAGGTGATGAAGTGAACGTGACTTGTATCTCGAGCCCTTCAAAACCAGCAGCTTGGTTGTCATGGTTTATTAACGGAAAGCCGGTAAGACTCTCTTTCTCTCTGGTTATTTATAGCTTTTAGGATTGTACATGCACAAAGTTATGAATATGTATAATTTGATTATCGCGAATGATGTAATGCGCACGTTCTATAATTTTCGCTCACGTTTTCTGGAGATAAGAAGTAAAGGTGGAGTTTATTGCGCATGACTGGATGATTATTAAGAATAGCATTTGTCCATGTAAAGTTAGACTTCGTTGCGATATTTCGTTTCATTAAAACCAGTGTACAGAGTTAAATAATATGTTGAACATTTTTCAGTCCATTGAAAATTAATGATACCTTTCTTGTATAAATTATGATAATAAATAACGTATTTCTTGTAATTGATGGATGAATGAAATACTGTCTTTTGGGAAAGTAGTCGGTAGGTTTGTTTTAAACACATAGCTACACTATGGGCTATCTGTGCTGTGCCCACCACAGGTATCAAAACCAGGTCTTTAGCGTTACAAGCTTTCGGACTTACCGCTGTTTTTTTTGTTTTTTTTTTTTGGTGGGGGTGGGGAAGTAAAGCTGAATTTGAAGTACTTTGAATACGGTCTGAAGCCAAAGCAAATGTTAATTTTAGGGTTAGGCGAGGATGGCGGCTAATGTTCCGGGATGCGGATTTAAAATTCTGAGGTGTGAGCCCATGATATGCTGTTGAACACGTTTCTCACTTTAAGTTCTAGGTGCGTTATAAAAATGACAGTCACTTTTACTATTCGGTTGGAGGTAGTCGTGTAGGCGTCTGGTTCTGCTAACTGGATGCCCTTCGTATAGTCTATAGATCTAGATGTTGAATAACTATGCTTGAACCACAGGGTGTCTGACCTGGCTCTTTAGCCCATATATTGTATAATATGGCGTTCATTTTAAATATACCAAATATAATTATGGGATTACATAAAGGAATACCCTGCGGTGGACAGAGCGCAGACAGCCCATTTATAAGGTCTGCGATAAAAACAACAACATAAGACATAAATTAATTTAATGCTTAGGTTTTTTAAGGACTACTGAATTGAGATATAATAGCAATTGAAAAATAATACCAATAATTCGTTCCTTCATTTATTGGCCCGGCATGGCCAGGTAGTTAGGGCGCTCGACTCGTAATCCTCGTCCCACCAAACATGCTCGCCCTTTCAGCCGTGGGGGCGTTATAATGTGACGGTCAATCCCACTATTCGTTGGTAAAAGAGTAGCCCAAGAGTTGACCTTCCCTCTAGTCTTACACTGCTAAATTAGGGACGGATAGCCCTCGTGTAGCTTTGCGCGGAATTAAAAAACAACAACAAAAAAAACCTTCATTTATTAACATTGCGTTCAGTTGACGTCAAAATATAAGTTTTTTTTTTGGTATATCTCGAGGTTAAACAATAAAAAATGACTTATGAATTAAGGGATACTTGCTTTCGTTCCTGAGGACCCAATCTGCAATCAAAATAATAATAAAATAATTTAGTCATTGTACCTACTACAAACAAAACAAAAAGACACAATCCGTCTGAAAATGATTTTTAAAGAAGAAATGGACGGACTGAGTTCGTGAAGAATACGAGTCCTGCTTCTGCTTGGTAATCTGTAAGTAGACAATGAAATGAGGAGAAAAAACTCGTCAACAGAATAAAAAAAAAGAGTTTCCGTCACAGAAAATGAGTAAGGGTCAAAAATAGAAAAACTGATAAAAGTAATTTTATTCTGCTGTTCCGCCAACAAAAAAAAATGTACTTTTCGAAAGTAAAATACAAAGCGGGAAACTTCAGACAAGGAGGGATAAAGTTAGCTTGTGTGTAAGAGTTGAATAATAAAGATCTACCAGGGATAACACGAACCTCAAAAATATATTGTAGCATGTTAAAAATGATTGAATAACACGAACCTCAAAAATATCTTGTAGCATGTTAGAAATGATTGAATAACACGAACCTCAAAAATATATTGTAGCATGTTAAAAATGATTGAATAACACGAACCTCAAAAATATCTTGTAGCATGTTAGAAATGATTGAATAACACGAACCTCAAAAATATCTTGTAGCATGTTAGAAATGATTGAATAACACGAACCTCAAAAATATCTTGTAGCATGTTAGAAATGATTGAATAACACGAACCTCAAAAATATCTTGTAGCATGTTAGAAATGATTGAATAACACGAACCTCAAAAATATCTTGTAGCATGTTAGAAATGATTGAATAACACGAACCTCAAAAATATCTTGAAGCATGTTAAAAATGATTGAATAACACGAGTCTCAAAAATATCTTGTAGCATGTTAGAAATGATTGGATAACACGAGTCTCAAAAATATCTTGTAGCATGTTCAAAATGATTAAATAACACGAACCTCAAAAATATCTTGTAGCATGTTAAAAATGATTTGCCTTCTTATTTCGTATTATAATTATTACCTCATTTATTACTTTCGTTAGTTGCAGGTGCAGGTTTAAAAAAAAAATCATAATTGTTCCCGGTAGTTTAAAAAGTCATAACTGTCCCCCAAACAACATCAAAAAGTCATAAATAGTGCCAACCTACGTTACGTTAGCACGTGATCACAAGACAGAAAGCTATGCAGACAATTCGCATATTAAATTCAAATCTCATTCCACATTAAATAACGCAAGTTCAGAGAGCCAGACATATTAGATAAAGATAACTGCTTATACAGACTACTGACTTAGTTTTGGTTTTGTCATTGTCGACGACTTAAAGTAGTCACGACACGTGACTTTTTAATATAATTGTGAAACTGGTCATTAAGGTAATTGGAGAAACGTCTGCTAGTTTTTTTCTAGTGTATTACACCTTCTCAACTTATTTTTCATTTCGGATTTACAAGACATAATTTTAACTTTGGGATTGATATATTTGCTGGCGAGCGAAAACGACATGTTTATTTCTAGAAAAACAAGTAGGCATAAGAAAGCATTTGTACTTGTGTTTTACCTTTAAGCCAAATCTACTGAAGCTATTAGTTGCCCTAATTCTGAACTACTGACCAGAGAGAAGGAAGGCAGTTAGCAGCTCTCTACTGTCCTCTCTAAAGGATTGAATTGTTATGTATCACTGACCCTTAAAACTGGGCAAATTTAGATACTGAGGAAACACTTCTTGAGCACAAAACTAAAGCATAATGTTACAATCTCTGAAAGTATACTTTCAGTCGTAAAGAAATACATAACATAAAACTGTTTTAACACCATAACATTACTTAGGAATGATAAAACCACGATAATTGATACACGTGCTCTTTGTGAACGTCCTCATAGCTCGAATTAAAAACTTTGCAAATTTTCTGCAACATTAACAAGCTTTGGACAATTAATTTTAATTAATGTCTTCATTAGACTCATAACAAGACAATTGGTAAATATTTTTGAATTTATAAAAATCCAAGCTATGGAAGAGTGTAATATCAACAAGTGTGCTAAATTTCATGCTGATATTGGTGAAGTTGTCATGGTAATAAATTAGTGACCACAGTAAAAACTGTGTTTTGATAAAATAGCCGTTAAAGTTTTTCTGAACTTAAATGTCAGTAAGCTTTTAATAAGTATGTGCATTTACCATATTTAACAGTGTTTCCTCAGCATTTAAATTTTCCCAGAGTCAGTGCTACCTTAAAGTATGGGGAATATTTTGTGTTACCTCACGGATTCGAACCCCGGTTTTCCAGCTACAAAATCCAGAGCTCAACCAAATCTCTATGGAACAACATCCCACCCCAAAACTTGCTTTCTTTAAAGCTGGTTATAGATATTATGCAATAAATCTGCTAATTTTTACACCTTCTTCCCACCTTCAGGTGTGTTATTTATTGCATCTTTTGGTTTTAAGCCTAATTATCTGGAGTTGTATGATTCATTACATTAAATTTATTCTTTTTTTATACAGTAATCGAAAGTAATCTGGCATCAGTAAAGAATTTATTCAGATTGTTTTATTCTTATTAAACTTACTTCCACAGCAGCAGTGATACAATGAAAACTCAAATACACTAATTTAGAGTTCTTTATATTGTTACGTCTCTGTTCGTTTATTAATTTTCCGTAAAAATGCTTTCCGAAGAAACTTTAGCGATACAAGTCCTTTCTTAAATAAAACTAGTTTATTCTTTCTCAGTACAACTTTGCAATACACTTACTTTCCACAGTCACGCTATAAATTAAACAAACG